CCCGAACAACAACCGAAGTTGTAGAAGGAAATTCGCCTATTTTACCGATCTAGGGATCCCCCTTTTCCAAATTTTAATATCAACTCAAAATAATTTAAAAAGACAAATTACAATAAAACGGTTTATTATCCAACTATGAGAAATTTCACAACACGTCAAGGAAGAGAGGAAGGAGCAATTAAATAATCAAAATTATGAAGGATTTAAAAAATATATAAAAATGGGGAATATTGCACTTCTAACAATCTCTGCGAGTATGTGGGCTAAATTTAAAGAATCCGTGCTTCTCGCTTGGACAACTGTATGTGGCCAACTCATGCATCAGAAAACCTTTTGATTTATTCGTGTACGCACCAGACAGAAAAACAAAAAATATCGTGTATCCACAAACACTCCAATAAATAAATAGAATTGAAACGACATTTTGAAATGTTTTCCCGATGAAAATGAATAATAATAATAAGTTTCAATAAAAATGATAAAATATAAATTGAATTTTATCATAATGAGTTTGCTTGAATTTCCTTTCTTCTGAGATCGCAGCAATGCACGATGGGTAAGCTAGTAAATAAAAGTTAATAAGGTTATAGAAAATAACTCTTCCAAACATTCACGAGACATTGTTCTAACTACTCAGCGGTCTCACAACGTTTGAACAACACACGTTAAGATCGGCCTGCGCAGTCTGACACTGCGCCAGGAAAATCAAATGGTTTTTCTATTCTACTCCGGTGGCCGGTACAGTCCGCCAAAACTGCTAAATTTCCCCCCATACACTATCAGAAATAACTCAAGGTCAGGCATGCATGGTTAATCCTTTGAGGATTAACTTAACATGTATGGCTGCCTTAAATTAGACCGACCTCATCCATTTTAAAACTGAATATGCAGAGTAAAATGTTACTTCTTCAACATCGACAGCCACATTTATTACTTTTGATATGGAAAATATCAAAACACTGATAATGAATCATAGCTATTAATGTTGAGAGAAAAACAAGATTTCCATGCTTTGGTTCAGGAATTACAATTAAAAGACATTGCAGAATTTTTAAAATTATTTTTGCACATCTCCAAATACTTTCAACCATCTATTAAGCTTCATAGAACATCTTTCTTCAACAAGAGATCAGCAGTTTCTCCATCCTATTCAAAGAATTGACAACAACAAATATTGAATCTTGGCTAACGTTTGAACAGACTAAGACGAAAGAACAACAGTAACGACTAGCGTGAACATTTCACAAAGATGAACAATAAAAACAAGTTTTTGTCATCATCATCAGCAGTGTAAATGCACCCAAATGTACCATTATTTACTGATTTGATAGAATAATAAAATTGATGATGTAAGAATGGAAACCAATATGTAAGTTTATAGTAAAATTACACAATGAATTTTAATATTTCAAAGTGTATTATAAGTTGCACAGACCTAACAAATGAAAAGTGAAGATAATTGAATCATTAAACAAACTCCAGAGTGATCTTGTTACTTTGGATAATGGAACAATGCAACGAAAAGGCATTTTCTCTTTAAACAGATTTGACTGTAGCATATTACCTCCTGCAGTTTATTTCAAGTCATTATTTTGAACTATTACAAAGATCATTGATGAGCCATTCTTGTTTACAACAAAATACGGTACAAAATACAATGAATTTGTTACATTCAGTTTTATTTTAAATTTATATTGTAAAAACTTCAAATAAGAAATGAATTATTACAATATTTGAGATTTCTTGACCACATTGTAGCAACATATTTCACAACTTAAATGGTGAAATGTACGTATTAATATAGAAATATTTGATAATATAAATTAGTTCCCAATGAACTACTGTAAGCCTAACACGTGTTACCAGTTACCATTCTTCAATAAACCTCTAATATAAACTTCTATTTTAGTTTATAAAATTCAAATACGAGTTTATATATATAAAGCTCATATAAAAAAATTATATAA